AGTCTTTTAAATTTTTTCATATGGCGTTGAGACGTGGTCACTGAAATCTGCAGATCGCAGACGCATTGACGCCTTTGAGATGTGGTGCTGGAGAAAGATGCTCCGTATTACGTGGACAGCATTTCGGACCAACGTATCAATTTTGCAAGAACTCAAAATCCTCCTCGCGGCTGTCATCCGGTTGTCTTCGCAGAGTCTTTGAATACTTCGGTCAGATTGCACGGAAGGATGGTAGCAATCTCGAGAGGCTCATCGTGACGGGTAAAATAGATGGGAAAAGACCTCGGGGGCGCAGCCCAATACGTTGGTCCGACCAGATACGCAACGCTCTTGATTCCACATTTCACAACGCCCTCCACCAGAGACAAGAATAGATGGAGAAAGATCGCGCGTGCGAAGATGATACAAAAGGGCGGTCACGACCCTCAGCAGTGAGGAATACGAGGCCAGGAGGACAGAAACTACAAAATACTATTATGTTTTACATTTCAATAATGGTCATCCCATCCTTCAAGATTTGCTTTTCTCCGCAGAGCAGTTGTACTGACATAGGCGGGCTCACTAGACCCGTTAAAATATCCTAAAAAATATATAAATATGACGGCGTTAACGATATTTCTATTTAGCACGTGCAATAGGAGTGACTCACACAAGCCAGGTGCGCCGGCCGTGTCGTTCGACTCATAAACAACAGGTGCAACAGAAGTGACTCATAAATAAGCCAGCTGCGCCGGCTAGTATAAAAAGGCGGAACGCGCCTTGAAATGAACATTCGTTGGACTGCGCTTGCCTGGTGCACTTACTATACCCTTGTTACGTTGTGTGATTCAGTGACTGTTGTACGTACTGGTTAAAGTTGGACAAGTGTTAAAGTGAATTGTTAAGATAACATATTGTTGATTAAATCAGGAATCAAAGGTGACTTCGTTTAACTTGGTGTTCAACAAAATAATGTCTACCCTCAAGCTTACAAATATATAAATAGTGGACTGGGACAATTAAAATTACTTTTACGGTTAGAAAAAACCGTAAAGCTAATTTTAATTATATCTACAGCTCGCGAAAATCGAAGCAAATACCATATGAATTTCCTTGAATTACAATTATTGAAATGAAAGTTCAGGAGTATTAAACACAAATTGACATAAACACTTTAATTTCATTAGTCACGGATATTTTAAAGTATGGCCTTTATAATAATACTACACGCCCAACATAATACACATAGATGACTCATGAATGTCTTACATTTGTACACGAACAAATTAAAAGGCAACAACATTCTATACGAATGTAGTTTAATACATATTACGATATGTTTTATTTAATAATAATTTAAAAGTTGATTTCTTGTGGCGCAATATCCTATCGCAATATGAAATACATATATACATACAAACAGTACATATTTACTTCATTAAAGTGAAAAAAGTGATGCATATAAAACTTTAAACACGATAGAATTCTTATTTTCATCATTTTTATACTTTATTACAGCACAAGACTGCATACTACCGCCTGGGTAGGAAATATTACGCAGGAGGATCTGTATCTGTCTGTCATCCAAACTTTTTATTTATTGCTTAGACAGGTGTATGAGCTCACGACCCGCCTGGTGTTAAGTGGTTACCAGAGCCTATAGACATCTACAACGTAAATGCCGCCACCTGCCTTAAGATATGAGTTTTATGGTCTCAGGTTTTACAGTATGACGTATGCCCCACTCTTGAAAACGAAGCACATTGCTGCTTCACGGCAGAAATAGGCAGGATAGCGGTACCTGCTCATGCGGGCTGTCATGACACCCTACCTTATGGCATTATATAACGCATATAACAAAACATGCGGATTTGATTATTGTTACCCGATATAATTTCTTCATCTTGGCCGTAATCCGTGTACTTATTTCATTAGAAAGATTCTAATTATATAAACGTGTTAAATGAATAGTTTTTTAAAAGCACAAAATCAAAACAGTAGTACGTAATGTGTTACAGCAATTTTAACATTGAAATGTTATCGCAATGTATTTGTTGCGTATGTTTTATTATTATTTTTATTTCATTTAATGACACATTAAGCGATTTGATATTTCATAACAAGCTACATTTTTCTTTAACGTAACCATAAAAATAATTTAAATTGACGTCCCCGTTACCCTCTCTCTCATGTTGTTTATTTGAAACTACAAAATACGCTGTACGCAGAATTACTTATACTAGAGATCCCTCAGTAGTCGAAATTCGACTATAATTACTTGGAATTGTAAGTTTGTACACTATTATGATTGTATTTTATACTTCTATAATCACAAATTTCGCCAAGACTACACTATAAAAAATATTAACAAAGACAAACCATATTCTATTCTCAATTTGACAACAGACGTCAAGAACAAAAGTTTGACAATAAATAGTATGCATGCGTGTGTGCGTCAAATACATGGTATGTAGTGTGTGTAAGGTTTTCTTTATTGATTTAATGTATCTTTTATGCATTATTTAAAAAAAATATTAGCATTGTGCACTTCTTCTCTATATTCACTATAAGTGTGGAAAATTTCATACTCCTCCGTCCGCGCAATTTTCGTAAAAAGGGATACAAAGTTTTTGCTTCACGTATTAATATATAGATATAGACGAATGTCAGATATGTTTTGTACAATGCCGAGCCTAAAGCCCACTGAGTTTCTCGCTGGATCTTCTCAGTGGGTCGCGTTTCCGATCCGGCGGTAGATTCTGCGAAGCGCGGCTCTTGCTAGGGTTCGTGTTGGCAACAACGTCAGGTTTAAGCCCCGTGAGCCTATTAGTCCGGTGACGCTGATATGGTCTTTCTAGACCAACAGCTAAGGTAGAAAAAAAAACGAGCCTAACTCATTCGTGAGTTTTCTTTGAACATGAGACCGTTAGAGCGAATTAGAATGCAAATGGGAAAAAGTGTACCATAGTTGCGAGGACTAGCTATTATTTAATTAATCATTCTTAATATTTATTCCGATTTACGACTCTGTTGTTCGAGCTTGGGCAATCTTTGTGTTGAGTGATTATTGGATCCTGCCGACACAATTCTATGGTTAATAATGCCGCCACACGAGGAGGAAGTCTCAATTATATATGTACATATAGTTTTAAATGTGACAGTGAGTTTGTTTGTTTATTACGCTTTCGCGTCTTCACTGTTCAATAATAATCATGAAATTTTTCCTACACGTTGTTATGGGGTACGGACAATGATAGCTTACATCTAGATAGTATTTCCGAGAGATCGATTTTTTTTATATTACCCAACGCACAGTCGCGTTCAAAAAACTGTTTTAAAGTAAAAAACTTATCATAAAACAAAACATATTTATGACCAGGGAAAAATAATCGAAACATTGAGCATTGAATCGTGTGACCCTGCGTTTACGAAGCACATATTATTACGCCACAAGTTCTTGACTACATCCCATGCTTAGATTAAATTCAGTGTCGTAATTTCGGTCCAGTCTTCGTGTACTTTGTACGGAATAGGGCCCTTTTTTATCCATTTTCTTTATTGCTTTGATGGGTTGACGAGCTCACGGCCCGCCTAGTGTTATGTGGTTACCGGAGCAATCAACAACGTAAATGCCATCAACTTCTCTCACTCTCATTTCTCATTTCTAAGTATTACAGTACAGTGGCTGCCCCCACCCTTCAAACCGAAACGCATTCCTTCTTCACTATCGAAATACGCAGGGCGACATCTGTCTCTCTCCTACTTGAGTGAGCGATGAATCCGCGTGGACAGCTGCTATACAATAATACATTTACATGTTTTCGTCAAGTATGAAGTTCAGTGAAAAGTGAATGTGGTGTTAATTGTTTATAGCAACGATAATTGCGATAATTGAAAAATGAAACCATTCCATCAGTATTTTCTTATGACGTTGTCACGTTCAACTATCGTCAGTAAACCGACTTTACAGACAGCCGATTATTTCCTGCCTATGCTTATAGCCTTGATAGGCTATTTCAGCTTCGCCCTAACATGTAAGTGAGCTCACGGGGCTAAATCCGGAGTGTTGCTAGTTGCTAGCACTGGCCCTAGCAAGAGCAGTGCTTCGCAGAGTCTACCACCGGATCGGAAACGCGATCCACTGAGAATGGATACCTACCCGTCACCCGTGTGTTACTCACACGACGCGATACTACCAGTAAATATCAATATTATGATGGTTTCGGTTTGTATTTACGGTCTGTGTAGTAGCGTGTAGTATACCCATGATCACTACTCAAAGATGTTTTGTTGTGGGAATAAAAATGGTAATCAATACGGGGGTTCCTTTTGGAACATTTTTATTTGCTGCAAGAAAGAATTGGTTCTAAGTCAGCATTACATAGGTATTCACGTAAAATAAATTAATGATTGGAGTGTTATTGATCTAATGTGCAAGTCACCTCATCTATACTTATAAAGGATTAATATCTGATTGATGATAGCTTACATCACAGCTACTCCCATGAACAAATAACGTTGTAGAATAAAAGAAAATACCACAGAAATGATTAATTTTTACAATTTATTGATAACTGAGTGAGCTCGTGAGCAGAGGTATTTAGGTGCCAAATTGCATGGTATAGGTCAGACACTATTACAATTATTTACAATACAAATGACATTTCGACCTCATATTTCAAAGTTGACGGTATTCATGTGACCCTTTCCATTGGGTTCTACTCTGGACGCTTTTGAAATTCAAAACTCAAAAGAAGAGATATTCATCAAAGTCATTTTCAAAAATCCAATCAACATGTTTTCGAAAATGTTCCCAGACGTAAATACATTTGTAATTTTCGCTGCCAATATGGAGTTTGGTCAGTAGTCAATGACTAATGACTGATAAAGCGTGATTGTAGTCATGTCTTTTAATAGTCGTTTATATTGCTATGTATCCCGAGTTGATAGAAACTTTGTGGGTACACTAGCGAATGATGTCATAAGCAGTCGAGCCACGACTGACGCCGCCGAGCCAAACTAAAAATTTACTGGCGCGCAGCAGTCGTCTTGGAGCCTTCGATACGAGTACTCGTCTCGCAATAATAATAATAAAATTCAAATTTAGAAGTGAATCATGGCCATCAGCAGGTTGTCTATCATCAAGTTTCTGGAGCTGGTGAGTTTATACTGTATAAAGTGATTTAAAGTTTAAAGATGCATTAAGGAATGCTTTAAAAAACCGGTTTTTTTTATTTTCAATCGAACATAACCGGTCTTGGATGCTCTGTTCGCATTGTCGCGTTATGTTTGTTTACCAAATAAAAAGTGAAATGACGCGATGATGAAACGTTTTATCTTGTTTAATTTCAATTTAAAAACTAAGAACATTTTATTTGTTGTTACTTTATTTTGAGATGATAACACGTTGTTGCTTTGCAAAGTAATCCGCATTTTTGGTTAATGCATAACATTAATAGGCACCTAATAATTTAACATTTTTAAATTGTTAGCTATATATGTATATGTTAAGATGCGTAGTTAATACTTAACGTTCAAGGTTAAATAATGAGTAATCATCTTGTAATGTTATTATTTTGCAATACAGTTCATTGTAATAACGTTTTTAGTAATAATTAATATCGTTTTTCTTGAGTTTTCTAATCGTCTCTATTACAGTAATAATTGCAAATCAGTCTTAGTCTGTCAAGCAATGCTCAACCAACAACCAAGGAGTTTAAATACCTACCATAATATTATTACAATTGTTGCCTACCGTGATTCTACCGAAACTTAGGTTCTAAAGTTTTCAATGGTTTCGGAAACCAGTCCCAAACAAAAAGGTACAGATAAAAATAATAAACGTGTTCTGACTTTGGTAAATCTATAGAGCAAATAACGATATCTTCCATATTATAAGTTGGAATGAAGCGTTTTATTTTGAAATAATACTTAGGTACTCACCTTCAATCCATTATATACCTTGTATGATTAATATCGTAGATTAATATCATGTTTCCGTCGGCGCGTTTTCCACGCATGCCTGATGCTATCGCTAGAGTTTTAACCCTGTGGCCTGTAGCATAAGTTTGTAGTTTCTCGCCGCATAAAAAGCACCAGCGAAGAAGTTGGCCTTGAGCTGTTAGGTCTTCATCAGATGTTCTCAGGCACTGTGAACAAACCCTGCCCTTCCATCTGAACCCACCCGTCCTGGTTTAAGCGGCAAGGCATCCGAGTTAATCGCAAAACCATAAAAAAAAATTGGGTTTTCTGCTTTGTCAAATTCCATTCATGGTTACAGGGAAAACAAAAAAAATTCTTCGAAATTAAAAATTTTACAATCGCATTGTTGTAGCGCTGTTTGTTTCCGAACAAACGGAATCCCGGAGTTTGTGTTTGAGTTTGTGTTTCGTCGAAATCGAAATAACTCATGCTCAGCGGAAACTTGAAATTTTTACGTTGTTTACGCTACAGACAATGAACGGCCTTGTATAAGACTTTAGTTGTAGCGAATGGAACGCTATAGTGATGCAAGTTATGTATGGGTGCATTTCGTTTTATGTTTATAATAAATAACGTTAAACATTATTCATAAATTATAATAAAAAAATATAAGGATATATTAGAAAAAAAAAAGTTAATTTAATAAGTTGCGAGGAAAAGTTTAACATTATTACTAACAAAAAAAAAAGTTTTGATAGAAGTAAATTAATTCAAAAACAAATTCAGCTAGATTAATAACAAAGAGAAATGCGAAAAAAATTTGAAACATTCCTTTAAATTATGCTTCACATTTAAGCCATTATTACTGAGAGCGTATTCTACATACCTATAACCTACGAGAAAATACCACCATACTACGTACATATATACTTCTGTCGGAAAGCAGTCACTCATTTCGACATAAAAAGTGTTACTTCCACCTGATATTTCAACCACGGCGACATATTACTAATATCCATGTGCTCTTAGAAGCAATAGTTGATTCTAATAACTCTAATATCAGATGGGCAGTAAGAGCTATAACCAATCTAATACAATATCGAATGTTTTATTCTCATGCCGGTCACTCACATGCGCGAAAATATTCGTACGTTGTACGAATGTTTGCGCGCATGTGAAGGGCCGTCAAACAATCATTCGCAAACTTAGCGGCTGTGTAAATGGGTTCGGTATAGTAACCGGCAAACTTCGTGAGCAAATGACCTTGACTACGCAGAACCGAATTTTAGACCACTTTGGTGGTGAGGGTGAGGCGCGACGGCAGGGGAAATCGTATCGAGCGCGTTATTGGTAGAATCTGGTAGATCAGTCGAACCTTGCGTCCCGCACCGCGCCTTCGTTCCGCTTGCTCCCAAAAGTACGCTTGCGTACAGTGAAAAGTCTATTAATATTAATCGTTGAAGTTATTTGTTATAATTATTATTGTTTGTTGATTTTGTTGTTATTGCTATTTGTTGAGTGTTTCTTGATTTTTTATAAAAAATATACTATGCCACGTCAAACTGGTGTAGTTTAAAAAGACAAGCTAGAAAAATGGTGTACGACGTATATTGCTTTCTTAAAAAGCAGGGAAATAATGATATGGAAACGGTAAAAGAGACTTCAGAGGCAACAAAAACATCAGTCAGTACTGTTAGGCGTATTATTAATGAAGCGAAGGGCTCTAACTTGCTCGCCGTGTTTCGTACTCCAGGTAAAAAAAGATCAGGGAAGAANGCTACTTGGATGCCACTGAGGAGCTTCTCAATAAGCTTGAGCGTTTGCAAAATTTGTGCATCCGTTTTATTTTTGGTCTCAAAAAATATGATCATATTTCTGAATTTCGCAAAAAGCTCAAGTGGCTCCCAGTCCGTTTCCGCAGAAATACTAGAATGTTGTGCTTCCTATTTAATATCCTACATAATCCTAACTACCCACAATATTTACGTGATCGCTTTACCTATGCCCGTCCCTCCATTGCTCCTTGTAGAACCCACATTAAAACTCTCCTCAATTGCCCTGTTCATAAAACACATGCTTACGCAAAATCGTTTTCTGTACAAGCAGTTATACTTTGGAATTCCCTCCCCCCAAGCATACGAGCGTGCAAAACCATAGCAGCATTCAAGAAATCTGTTAAGGAACATTATTTATCCTTACCATCTTAAATAAATTATATATATTTGTATAATGTATTATAATATAAAGTAAGTATATGTGTGTATGTTATATATATGTATGTGTGTGTGTGTGTGTCTGTATTTGTATGTATATATATTGTTTTGTATCTTTTAATATGTATATATTATTATATGTAATGTTTACTGTATGCACTAGGTTTGTGTTCTTAATTCTTCTTTCCTTTTGCGGGCCTACTGGAAGAGATTTCAGCATGAAATAAGTAGTGCCCTTGTACTCTGTATCCTTATTGACGTGTCTTTTCTAACAGCTGTGTGTACAAAATATATTAAATAAAATAAATTAATAATAATTAAATAAAATGCATTTGATAGAAGTAAATTAATTCAAAAATAAAATTCAGCTAGATTAATAACAAAGAGAAATGCGAATAAATTTTGAAACATGCCTTTAAATTATGTTTTACATTTAAACCATTATTACTGAGAGCGTATTCTACATATAACCTACGAGAAAATACCACCATACTACGTACATAGGTATATATTTCTGTCGGAAAGCAGTCACTCATTTCGACTTAAAAAGTGTTACTTCCACCTGATATTTCAACGACGGCGACATATTACTAATATCCATGTGCTCTTAGAATCAATAATTGATTCTAATAACTCTAATATCAGATGGGCAGTAAGAGCTATAACCAATCTAATACAATAACGAATGTTTTATTCTTATGCCGGCCACTCACATGCGGGCAAATATTCGTACATTATACGAATGTTTGCGCGCATGTGAAGGGCCGTCAAACATTCATTCGCAAACTTAGCGGCTGTGCAAATGGGTTCGGTACTCAATTTGCGAACCCGTTTGCGCTTCCTCCTACACTTGTTTACGAATGTCTCACGAATTTCACCTCCTTTTTAATTCGTCAATAGAACATTGAAGAGAAAAAGAGTTTTGAATTCTTTCCCAGACATCATTAACAGCCATGCTGTTTTTATGGGATTTCTTTTGATGAAGATACGCTACACAGTAGACGTCACGATCTATGAAAATAGCGAAACGTCCATTGCCTTCGCAATCCTGGGCCTGGGCGCAACTGGTCACACGAATGTGTGGGAGACTATGCGAAAGATCGCGGTTCGCGTGCTTTGATGTCTGTTAAAAAACCGACACATCTTGGAAAACCACGAATGCAGCGAAAACTTTGCATAATCATTTGCAAATGTCGTCCTACACTTGCGGGTTTGCGTATTCGTGCGAATGTGAGTGACCGGTATTATTGATTGAAAAACCAACGCACTATGTAGCACATAACTTCATTACCGATGTGCCTAATTACTATTACTATTATACTGCCACTAAAAATGGAATGCTAAATTAATAACTGGGCGCTGGCCGCAATACGTATTGTTTACTATAACATTTTGTTAATTTAATGCGAACCATTATTGAAAACGCAAAGCTTATCACGAACGCAGCGATAATGTTTGACTGGAATGCGTTATAGATGTGTTATGTATGATTATATCTACTTGGAACCACAAACACTAACACATTCATTGCTAAACAATCGTCAGTTGTAATTTAAAAAAAAAATATTTTGTGGCGCATACGCTTCGATCAATATAATAAAAGAAAAAAGTTGTGTTTACTAGAAAAAATAATTTTCGAAGCACAAAATAAACAAGATCTTTAAATATCTAATTTAATATAATCAGTATATATTAATTAATTTAATATATACTGGTGGTAGGACCTCTTGTGAGTCCGCACGGGTAGGTACCACCGCCCCGCCTATTTCTGCCGTGAAGCAGTAATGCGTTTCGGTTTGAAGGGTGGGGCAGCCGTTGTGACTATACTGAGACCTTAGAACTATATCTCAAGGCGTGTGGCGCATTTACGTTGTAGATGTCTATGGGCTCCAGTAAACACTTAACACCAGGTGGGCTGTGAGCTCGTCCACACATCTAAGCAATAAAAAAAAAATCTAAGCATGTACTTTTACTCCTATTAGTAGTAGGTACACGGTATTTCAAAGAGAATCGTATGTTGATA